ATAATCTCCACATGTCTACCCTTCTTTTATCATTTTCTAATCATAAATCTATCGATTAGATGTGTAACGGAGGTGATCTTTGGGGCCATAGATCTCGGCCTCCGTTAGGGATTGTGTAGCGTCCTTATTGGCGAAGTATGTGGATTTGTTCCCTGGCTTTATTTTGAAAAGTGTTCCCCCCTGTGTGTGTGTGTGTGTGTGTGTGTGTGTGTGTGTGTGTGTGTGTGTGTGTGTGTGTGTGTGTGTGTGTGTGTGTGTGTGTGTGTGTGTGTGTGTTTTGAGAGTGTGGGTGTGTGTGTGTGTGTGTTTAACCCTTAGTTGCCCTTAGAGTGACTGGACCCTACTCTCTTCCATAAGTGGGTCAAAAAGGACCCGTATTAGAATAATATGTGTTTTTATGCCATAATTGTCATTTTGGTTAAGAAAAATCACTTGTATAATATTTAATATTATATTTTGGTTCACACTAGAAATATTTAATATTTAATTTTTCACTATTTATAATTTTAGCTTTTTTTTTTACATTTTGAAAAAAAACATTTTCCCATAGGAGTCCATAGAAAATGCATGGGGTAGTAATACAAAAACTACAATTTCTTCAAATGTAAATTAAAATGCTTGAATGGCATGATATCCAAAACATGTTTTTGAGGAATAGCTGGAATATGAAAAGATAACAAATGTTTTATTACAAAGATACTTCAAGAAAACCACCTCACCGGGTCAAAAAGGCCCACTTATGGAAGCTTGGGGTAGTAATACAAAAACTACAATTTCTTAAAATTTAAAAAATATACATTTCAAATTTGTATGGCATGATATCCAAAACATGTTTTTTGAGGAATGGCTGGAATATGAAATGATAAAAAAAATGTAATTACGAAGATACTTCAAGAAAACCAGGTCAAAAAAGACCCACTTATGCATCTAAGGGTTAAGCTCTGTTTTCCCTGTTAGTGTGTGTGAGGTCCTTGTGGCTGGTGACGGTGTCCACGTGGACAGTCTGTGTCATTTACCACAATGAGAAATAAATGACCACACCGGGTTGTGTTTGCCTCTGCCTCCTTGCTTGGTCGGGCCGCTCACCTGTCAGCCCCACAGGATGCATTGCTTTTCTGTCGAAGGAACCCATGCGCAGCTTACTTCCGGGTTTTAGGACGCGTCACTGTGGCACTCTATTGTCCACAGTAATAACTCTTACATGTCTAATATGTGTTGTTATTATTATTATTAAAAGTATGCTAAATGTTCCATTAGCACATCCTGTTTGTAGTGTACCTATGGACATACAGAAAACTCACTGTATTACTTAAAAACTGAATAAATCTGAAAAACGTGAAGATTCTGCAGCATATCTTTCCACGATTTCTTAGTGGACGATCATTCTGGATTTAAAGTCCCACTGAATGATATTAAAATGTCTGTGTTCACATATCACTGCTATGATTCAAGGCGAGCCGGTTGTACAGCATCACCGTAAAGAGCAGTATTCTGTGTTGTTGTTGTTGTTGACTTCTGACCTGCGGAGGCTGCGTGCTTCATACAGCGTGTCGTCCTCTTCGCTCTCCACCGCCTCCATCTCCACGGATTCGTCGTAGTTCGACAGCAGGCCGTACTTCTTCTTGTGGGCGGGCCTCTTCAGCCTGTCGATGTAGAGGAAGTGTCATTATTACCAGCACTGATTGTTTTAAAATAACAACAATAACAACACGTGTCTGTTTGTGGGATCAGATGAACGCTGAACTCATGACTGGCTGTAACTCTCTAATCAAACCACACGAATCACAGTTTACAGAGAGTGTACAGGTGCTGGGAAAACACACAGTATGACAGGAAGTCCGGCTGTTATGACTGTATTGTTAATAAAAACAATTAAAAGTGAACTCCCTCCAACCGCACATCCAAACTAATGACTCTCTCCATTATTAAATCACGTCTCAAAACATATCATCAAACTGGCAGATCCACCCTGATCACATGACACACCCTCTGTTGTTATTGATTATATTGTCTTGTTGTTCTGCTGGTGTTATGTTTTGTTTTGTGTATCTTGTACGGCGACCTTTAGAGTGTTGAAAGGCGCCTATATGAATAAAATGTGCCATGACAAGATCGGAGTACTTCTACTTTCACGACAAGATCTGAGTACTTCTACTTTCACGACAAGATCTGAGTACTTCTACTTTTACTACAAGATCTGAGTACTTCTACTTTTACGACAAGATCTGAGTACTTCTACTTTTACTACAAGATCTGAGTACTTCTACTTTTACTACAAGATCGGAGTACTTCTACTGTGTACTACAAGATCTGAGTACTTCTACTTTTACGACAAGATCGGAGTACTTCTACCACCTCTGGCTAGCCATTGTAGCATAAGAAAAAAATAACACATTGTATTTTATTAATCTGTCACTATTTTTTACTAATTCACTGCTTTTATGAATGGAGTTTCGTGTTGCATTAATCAATATAAAGGGTTGTAAAGGGCTCCACATTCAGGTAAAAGCCACAATGTAGATTGTTTTAATGATATATAATGTGTACGTATCAGTTATAGGCTTGTCCTTGTTATTGTAGAAGAAGAAAAAAAGTTGTACATTGTACTTTGGTTAATCTGTCCCCAGTGTTTGTCTAAATCGCTGTTTTTATGAATGGAGTTTGGTGTGGGGACCTAATCACGCTTTTCCTCACCTCACAGCCCGGATGACGAAGTAAATAACCCCGATGATGGTGATCCCGATCAGCACGTACAGGGCCCTCTGAATCATGGAGCTGTCCAGCCCGTTAAACAGCCCTTCTCCTCGGTGCTTTTTCCCGCCGCTGTGTGTGGAGTTCCCCCCGGTGCTGGAGTTCGTCACTGCGGGGATCTGAGCCTCTGTGACCGGGTTTAAAGCCTCCCCCACCACGGCGACAAACACCCAACATATCGGTAAAAGAACCGCGGAGAGAAGTCTGTAAAAAGTCATTTTGACAAAAACACTCCGCTTGTATTAAAGAGAGAAAATTAGAGCCGTGGAGTTTAACTTTTTTAACCGGAATCGAGCTTATATTTGGGTTTTTTAGAAGATATACACGTCGTGTTAGCTGTTATTAAAGTAATATCCAGACAACTAGGAAGTTAACATCATCCACCTACTGCCTACGTCACACACGCAGTGGGGGAAATTCTCCCTCAGTTTGACTTTCAGGTAGTGCCTGTCAACCAATCAGAACAGTGCATTCAGATGCCTGCAAGTCTGTGTAAAGGGGTTCAATAAATATTTTAATAATAATAATACATTCGATTTTTTTAGCGCTTTTCCTAATGCTCAAAGACGCTTTACATAATATTAGTTATAGTAATTTAACAAACACACTTTTACCAAGTGCAACATTGAAGTGATGCGGAGATTATTGTATCAATAGTAATACAATCAATTAAAAAGATATATTGTGCTTAAATGTGCCATTATGCGTGACTTTTTTAAGTATATGTTGATGCTTTTACTTGTTTACTTCTACTTGAGTGGACATTTTGAATACAGTAGCCTGCTTTTACTTAAAACTGAGTATTTTTAATCTAATAATTTTACAGGTGAATAATCCGAGTGCTTCGTCCACCTCTGAAAATACAATATAAAAGTAACTGCCTATTTTTTTTTCTGCAATATTGAATACCAGCATAAATTAGAAAAGTTGTACACATAATTTAGATATTCTTTGAGATTAAAGTTATAATTAGAACACATTTTAAACGTTATTTGTGCCTTTACGATCCAAGGGAACATTCTTTCTTTTAGATTTACCATTATAGTCTCAGAAAATATCCCATTTGTTTCTTGAAACTGTATTACTTTTATCTCGGATATTCTGAGTTAGTAGTCTTGTGACTTTGTGTTTCTCCCCTCTGTGTCAGATCACAGCTGGATTCAGGCTGAAACATCTGGAGAGATTCACATCTTGGTTGATCTTTGAGCTGGTTGTGTTTCCTCAGGTTGCTCAGATCTAACTCAGAGCTTTAGTCCTGCTTGTGTTCAGCAGCAGCAGATGTCTACCTGCCTCACAGCCTGAACCATTCACACTAACGAACAGCTCATATCTGGAAACATCAATCAGAGGTTAGAAACCCTCTCACCTGTCCGCCCTGATGGCACAGGGAACGACTCACGGCTGAACTCAGATACTTCATCAAATATTTGAGAGGCTTTTGGTCCGATCTGAGAGCAGGTTTTATAATTGTTTTAACCTTGTGTGAATCTGTGCTGTCCTGTTTTTCATTCTCACCCTGTTGCTGTTTAAACTACTGAATCCACAGATCCATTTTATCCTATCTTATCTTAGGTTTACAGTTTTTTTTTTTAAAGTTATATTTTGTTTTCTTCCTCCATTTTTGACTGTTTTGTAAATACTGCTGAGCAAAAGATTTGGCTTTGATAAAAGAGAATATTATTTGGATATTTAACAGAAGTTTTGTGCATATTTTAAACATTTTGGTCTAGTTTAGTTACAAACCCTAAATATTACTGTAATAAGGGCTTTTGACCTCAGGGGGGCGCTGTTGGTTTTCTTCTGCAGTCAGCTGCATGTCTGTGTTTACGAATATCCTTTTAGATATTTTATGTATTTTTGGCCAATATTTTACTAGTACATTTTGTAAAATCCTACCTTTATTTTGTTGACGATATTTTATACTATTTACTTTCTCTTGTAGATTGTAAAAATACATTTTGGATGATTTACTAATAGGTTTTTAGAACATTTTATCAACTTTTATCCAATATTCTTTAATGTTGGTTTATATTTTTAATGATTTAAATGTGTTAAATTGTTCTGGTATGTTCTCGGACATTTACATTTAGATTTTCAATGGACATGACTGATACTTTTGCGATATTTGATTACAAATATATATTTTCCGGATATTTCTTTATTCTTGTTTTTAAATTTAAAAACGAAGTTGTGTCCAAAATTTTACCAATTTAGATTTGACATGTAACTTATATTTTTTAAGACATTTTACTGATTTTTTGGGATATTTAGTTCACCTTTTGATTGCAGCCTCTTCGAATAAACCTAGTAACAAAACTATAACAAAAAACATCCTCTGTCAGAAGAATTAAAAGATGGGTAAATAAAAGGCAGACATATTAAAGTGTGATTCTCCTTAGCAAGGCACATGTATCTGTATCAGAGGTGCTGGTTTGATTCCCGCAGGATCAAAGCCTCCAGATGTCACGCTAATGTACATTTATGTATTTAGGTTATTTCTGTATTTAGGTTGCTGGCAGAGGCTCCAGTGATTGACAGGCCTTCCGTCCAATAGCAGCGCGACTCTGCTGCCCTGCTGCTCTGTGATTGGTCCTCAGGTTGACAGAGTGGGCGGGACTATGAGATTACAGCATCTCTGTCTCTGCAGATCCCTCGGACATCTGGAGCTGCCCTGCCCGGGAATCAGACATCCTCCCTGAGCACCGAGCACCGACATCCCGCATTGACCGAGCCCGGTGTGTCGCTGTCTGTTTCCCCCGTGAAAACACCCCCTTGGACCCGGTGTTGTTGTGGCTGCTGTCCGGGCTGGATCTCCCGCAGGCTGCAGGGCTCTGGAGGGACCCCACCGGTAAAAACACGGAAACACGAAGGAAACCCGGGACTAAGAGGTGATGCACTGAAGTGATCCGACATCTGAGAGCGTTTTTTAGGCCCTATGTGAGCTGCGACACACTCGGACCTGGTGCTTCTCGAACCCGGATCCTCCTGCAATCTGGACCCTGGAGTCGTGTGTTTCCCTGCAGGATAAAAAAACAAAACATTTATTAGTTTTGCAGATCTTGTGTCTGATAAACGGTCCTGATTGAGACTTCCTCCTCCTCCTCTTCCTCTGGTCTGGATTAAAGCCCATCAGGATCATGAATCATCCCCCCTCTGCTCCTCTAATCCGGGTTTTACCGAGCTGGATTTAAATCTGAGATCTGATCTGGATTACTCTGCTGCTCCTGGATCTGATCGGGTCACGTGCTGGTCCCGGTCCCGGTGTGATCTTGGACTCAGTGCTCCTGGTTGTTTGTGTTTCTGAAGGGGGAGTTCTGCTGTCAGCCATGCCGACGTCCCGGCCCGGTTCTGCGCCGGTGGAGTTCTGGGTGGACGGCTCGAGGCGGGACGGGGCGGTGGAAGAGTTCTACACCCTGAGCTCCGAGCTGGGCAGGTCTGCACCATGTTACCTGGAGGGGTTTAAGGAAGCATGGGACCCCATTGGACCCTGCACCATGTTACCTTAGTTTCCACTAAATTGCATTCCTGAAAAAAGCACAGTAATTTAGTATATAGAAGGAATTGCATTATCATAGAGTTATCTTTTGGAGGGGCCCACAGGGAGGTCCAAGCTCCGTGTTATAGGGGCACTGGCCCCTGTTGGCCCCTCCTTAGAACTTCCCATGCCTGGGGGGGTTTGAGGTTGCATGGGCCCCTCATTGGACCAGAGTGATCCTGGTTTATACCATATTCAGTCCATTGTAGACAGGTGTGTCATTTACACTGGGGTGCCCACCACTTTTTGAATTGGCACATTTTGTCCCAATTACTTTTTTGAAAAAGCTTTCAGAAAGATGCATTTGCACAATAGGAAAACATGACATATAAATATAGAATAAATGAATGTGCAATGTCCAGAGCAAAACAAAAAACCCTATAAAATGACCAAAAGGCATTGATAACTACCTCCAAAAATGTATACCTTGAAGACCATTTAAAAACATTCTAATCTCCTAGGTCCCCATCACATTTTACTTCCAAGTGATGCCCTTGATTGATTGTATACGTAAAAGAAAAAAAAAGATAAATATTAGAAATTCTCTAAAACTATAATGTTACCAAATGACTTCAAAAAGATTGATTGCAGATTGATCTAATCTTGAAAAGTGAAGTGATATTGTTTTTTTTTATAAATGTATCACGTTCACGATCCAGCTGTTTCTTTCATAAATGTAAGACTTTAAATGTAGTTATCAAAGTTTATTTTCTTTGTAAATGTGTGAGTTTTAGTGGAAATGTAGGCCCACTTGAATCTCAGAATAAATGCAAATGTTATTCTCTTAAATTTAGACTTTAATCCCAGCAACTATGTATGTTTCAACTTTCAATCAAAATGAAGGTCAAAAGTATGATTTAATATAAACTCTGTGGCCACCATGGATGTATAAAGAGAACTTGATACAGCGTGGGAGGCGGGGCTAAATTCATTTTTAGTTCAGGTGCATAAAGCCAACAAAACACTAGATTTGACTTTTAGCGGATTTTACAACTTTAGGTCCTAAGGATACAGTTAAAAAATGTTCACTGTTTAACAGATGTCTCTTCCCAATGTACAGTATATCAATGGGAAAAAGTATTTTCGGCCCAGTGATGTCACAAGTTGATGTGGAAGTTAAAGTACCACTGTTTGCCCGCCAACACAAATTCAAAAACCTTCACAACAAGCAAAACGTATTTTCTTCAACCCAGAATTTTGCATCGCCACTTGTTCCAACAACCGATATGATTTTTCCATTGGGTTTTAGGTTTTTGCTGAACATCATTTCTATGGCAAACTAACAATTCCGATACTTATATGTTTTGATCAGCAGCATAATCTTCACATATTAACACCAATTTATGATTTTTGACTATAACTATAATAATAAAAGAACTACAGCTCGGTCACATGACTTCACGTCACCACCGCTAAGCTAAAGGCAGCTCGGTCACATGACTTCACGTCACCACCGCTCAGCTAAAGGTGGCAAATGTTGAGCGTGATGATGTTTAGTCGTCTCATTTAGACACTTGTTAGCAACCGCCGTTTTCACCAGTGGGGTATTTACTGACAGATTTTATGACAAAACTTTATATAAATAAAAAAAAGTCTTCAGCTTGTGTCAGCCACAGACGTTATTTCAGACAAATAACTCAAAAACTATTCATAAAACCGAACCATTCACTTTGAGATGACCAAACAGAAAGTGTTAACATGCTGACTCATTTCTGGCGTTGCACAGCTAACAATAACGTTAGCATTACAAAAATAAGTTAGCTATGGCATTCGTTTTAGCAGCTAACACGCTAACAGGCCTCTTTTGCAAGTTCACTAGTCCCTAAAACAGGAAAAGCACCCAGATGTGGTTCTTCCAGGTAAAAGTGACCAAACCGCTGGCTGTTTGTTTATTGTTCCTGCAGTGTTCACACATCCGGTTGTTTGTTGTTATTCCTGTAAACAACAACAACATTAACAGCTCCATGAAAGAAAACAGCAAAATTATGT